TCTCAAAGTTAATGCCCCAAGATTCGGGACTTTGCATTTTAATATATAGGATTATTTCTATTAAGTAGGTAACACTCTCTCCTCTTTCAAATAGAAACATGTCGTTCTAATCTAGCTCCTTTACCTCTTTTCACTATACTTCATGAAGCTTAAAGGCCTGAATTTTATGTGATTCTAGTGATTATGCTGATTTTTTACCATTCTTAGGATTAGAGAAATGGATCCTGCCGTTTTCAATTTTACGGAATGGACGACTGCTGCTCAAAGGGACCGATTCTCCCGACGATCACAAAATCCTCCACGGCTCCAAACTCATCCTCATGATATTGGTCATTGTTGCTCACCGTGTCATGGAGGGCTGCGTCAATCCTGCCTTTACCAATTGGAATTATTACGAAAACGTAAGTTAAACTTTCTGACCTAATCGTATGACCTTTTCCATAAGTGTATCATGGGTCCTGGCTCTCCTGATGGCTGCCACGCTCCAAAAGTTTAACAGATACTTTTTTTCCTAGTTTGTTTTATTTCATTAAATACCCAGGGCCGGATTTACCTACTCGCCGCCCATGAGCCGCCTGTATTTTTCCGCTCCCTTCTCAATCGTTTTGAAACATCAATAGATCGTATTCGACAGTGGTTCGCTGTGTCGTTTGGTTTAAAACAATTGAACATTACCTCAAACAAAAATTTTAAGATTTAATTTGGAAAAGCTGAAATTGATAAAATTCCTAACAATTTTACTTTTCATTGCCATTTGGTACTCGAGAGAATACAAATTCGAGCACATAAGACCCGTCACCTCAGATTTCTAAATTGACTTTTGAGGCTGTGGTTACATATTGAACCAATCGATATCAATATAATCTCACCTGTGTGATCTGTCGAATACGATCTATAAAAACCATCAAATGAGCGTGCCGGTGGAGGAGGGGTGTATGAGACGCTTTTACTCGTGTTGGCCACATTTTTTGTGAAAGCCCTGTCAACATACTAACAAAAGTTCAGTTCCGTAAATCCATCCCTGTTGGGACAAGGCCCCTCCATTCATATAAAACGAGCGAAAAAATTATGAAAGAACAAACATAAACGTGGTTAATAATTTTAACTTCCGCCGCTGCCCGACCGCACTGTGTTGGCGCAATGCGTGAAGTATTCATGCAGTCTTGTAGGCGCTATGCGTTTCACGCCGACCGCTGCTGACCGGACTATGTGTCTGACGCAATGCGTGAAGTATTCATGCAGTCTTGTAGGCGCTATGCGTTTCAAGCTGACTGCTGCTGACCGCAGTGTGTTTGACGCAATGCGTGAGGTAGTCATGCAGTCTCGTAGGCGCTATGTGTTTCATGCCGACCGCCGCTCCGCGCCGCTCCGTTCCAGGTCAAATTGCGTTTTTGTTTTCTCTCTTAATTCGACTAATTAAAGGTGGTGTCTCGTTTGTAATTTATTATCTGAATCAGATTTTTTCCTCTCTTTTTTTGATACCTACATTCAAAAAGATTGCAAAATTTGCAGCCCCCTACATTTTTCTTGCCCTGAAAATACCCAAATAAGAAGTCATACAAACTTCATCTGGAATAAATTGTCAAACTCAAGAGACTAGTACGTCGATAGCTATTAAGTTGAAAAAGTCGTACCTCTGGCTAAGACGTTGTAAAGCTCTGCTCAAGTTTTACATTATTTTCTTCTCTTTTAAAAACATCAGCAATTAGTTTTCCTTGACTTATCTTTGAATTTTTGTTTAATTATTTTGAAGTATTCTAAAATGATATCAAAAAAATTTTGTGTTTTCTTTTTTTCTTCTTCTTCTTCTTCTTCGAAAAAAAAAAATAAAATAAAAAAATCGGAGGATGGAAGTTGTTGAAATGTAGCATTGGAGATAGATACGCATTGCTCAATCCAAGATATTAATTTGTTATTTAGATTTGACACAATTTGCTGCCATAGATGTTATTAAGCGGGGACGTCCCTATCTAGGGATTCTCCGTTACATTACGTTACACTGGAGCATTGGAATCAAAGAGGAGCACCGGCCCAGGAACTCTTTCAGAGCTACCAATGCCGTGAGGAGACTCTCATAGCAGCCCGAAGTTGAAGTATACTCTTTCAAGAGTAAATATGTAACTCTGATGAGGAAGTATTCTAACAACAGAGATTGCTATAATTTGAAAACGACGAATTTACCGAGCAGTGCATTAATAAATTTTTTCGATCCGTTTTAAATTAACTTCATTATGATCATCGTCGGCATATTTTACGAGCATCATAAAGTCGTTTTTTCCCCCCAACATTTTGTACTTCAATTTTATTTAAGTCTTGTTCATGCGTTTTTCATCATGTTACGAATTAGTATGTAGTTTATTACACATCTTGCTTCACTCAATTTCATATGCCGCAGAGAATCCAAGAGTTCAGCCTGTTTTTCGTCGGCTTGCCAGTTGTGGATGTCTTTTTTTGCATCTCCGGTTTCCTCACCTGCACATCACTCGTCAAGCAATTGGACAAGAACACATTCAACATTTGGACTTACGTAGCTAACAAACTTATCAGGTATGCCAACATTAACTGCAGTAAAAAGGAGGTAAAAAATAGAAAAGTGCTAAACATTAAAAAGCTCCAAAATGGTCACCTAGGGTGCGTCAAAAAAAATGAAAGTCTGAAATGTTCCGCTCCCCAGGCGGCAATCGATGACGTTTGGTAAAAAAACATGTTTGCCAAAATTTGGGCCAATTTCAACCATTTTAAATGGTGCCAAAGGTCAATTTTGTGATGAAATTATGATATTTTGGTTTAGACCTCGATTTCGTACAAAAAACTCGATTTTACTCTGAAATCGTGCGTTTACGACAAAAATGCCAAAGAACTCGACTTGTAGAGGATGAAAT